TTCCCTCCCCCTTCCCTTTGTCTCATCATTTTATGATATCTAAAATTATTTGATGACTCTATTTTCCCTCTCCTAAATTGAAGTACATATTTAACCAGATATTTAATAATATAATTAACCAACCATAAAATAATTAACCAAATATTAAAATATTGTTTTCTTATGGTTGGTTAATTATATAATTAAAACAGAATCTTTTCAGAAATTACATAACATTTCTACAAAAGTTATAAAAATAAAAAATGTACACTGAAACATATAGTCTGAGGTAAAGTCCTCCAAAGATGAAGTGCAATCGCCTACATCATTCTGCTGGGGGGAGGGGAGCAAGGTTGTACCTTGTTAGGTATGTGTAGTATGCAGATTGTTTTTTGTACCCAAGATTCAGTTGTAATATGTAGAAGGGGTATAATAGCAAGGCTGAGTGAAAGCGAGATCTCCAGGGCTGGGAAAGAAATGAGAATACCTCCAAACACAATTAATGATGAGCAGATGGATATTCCAGGATCAGTCATTGGAAAAATGTCAGCCCTTCAGCAGAACATTCTAGGAAGAAGAGGTTCAAGCAGCATTCAGAACCCATACCCTAATGAATTCACTGATAATTGAATGCTAGTTAATCCTTTACCTTCTTGGTAATAAACCTACTGGGTTGTACTCTGCTGTAAAGGGCTTGATATTAAACCCATAAGGTGAAGATTGAAGGTCTCAACGTCTTCTCTCAGAAGTCCTCTGGGTATCCGCACCCTAGCTCTGCCTCAGGAGTTGCTGTTGCTACCACATATCTTCCCAGTGGGATGTCTTTACTTTTTTCACCCTACCCACTCCCAGCTGCAGCATGAGACACATAGGAATCCCACAGCCTAGGTGCTTTACTGCCGAACAGAAGGAAGAAAGAAGATAAATGTGAAATAAATTTTCTAGTACCACCCTCTAGCCCTTATAGCTTTGAGGAATGTAACTAGGGAAATCACATATATAATCTTTCAGTTAGTTAGACAATATCATGAGATATAATTAAAATCAGACATTCTTAAAAGGAAAAAATGAATGTAAAAATTCCTTTTTTAACTTTAGGGGGTAAAAACAATCAGTGGTAGAAGAAATGGGTCTGCTGCTCAGAGATCCCAACAGGCATCAAACATACAATAGTATATATACAGTAACAGAATGCATAGATATAACAACAGTAGGGGCAATAAAGATTTTGACATATGGAAAACAACAAATCTTAATGGAATGCCAACGAGACGTTTACCTATGTGTACTCAAGTACTAGTTCCTCGAACCAGAGAAGTTTTCTGAAAACAGAATTTGTTTTCTGCAAATTGCAGCCTTATTTCTGGGTCTGAAGCCTTCTCCTTCCTTCCATCCCAGCACACACTTCTTGTTTCCTTCTCTTCCATAGGAGTTTTCCCTCCCATCTCTCCAAAAGGACAACCTTTCCCTCCCTTGGAAGGGAGGGATTGGGGGATTTGACTCTGCATGTGACAAGCTGCAGTTTACCTCGGAGTCAGTGTGGATTGAAATTTAGACACTGGCTGACTGTCCTTTTGGCTGGTCATTTGTGAAGTCAGTAATGCCAACACAGAGCAAAGCTCCTGTTTGGTATCCAGTGTGACTTCCCCCTTTAAGAGCATAAGCAGTGCCCTGCTGAATTGAAGCCCTGGCCTTTCTAGTCCAGCTGTCTGTTCTCACAGTGGCCAACCAACTGCACAAGAAAGCCCACTAGTCTCTCAGCAGATGGCCTTCATTGATCTCCATAACATCCCTGAATTGGTACAACCCTTTTTTGAAGCCAGCCGAGCTGGTAGCCAGCACCACATCTCGTGGTACAGGTAGTTCTCAACTTATGGCCACAATTGGGACTGGAATTTCGATTGCTAAACAATGTAGTCATAAAGCATGATGTCAGTGAGCGCATCGCTTAGCAATGGCAGTCTCAGTTGCCATCGTAACCCCAAGTCACGCATGTCATTAAGGAAAGAGGCAGGAGTCCCAGGTAAGGAGTGCAGAGGTGTTGCGGGGGGGGGAGGCCTGGGAGAGCTGGTGTAGGTCGCACATGAGGTGGGAGAGGGGGGTGCTGTGGGACAGCACACGCTCAGGAAGGCCAGGGAAAGAATACACTGGCTCGGGCTTCTTGGCACGCTGTGGCTATGGGGCTGCAAGCTTTTTGCAGTCCCAGAACTGCAGCACTCCAGGAAGCCCCTTTGCACCATGCAAAGCCCAGCCCCACCAAAAAGCTCCAGAACTGTGGCGCACCAGGGAGCCTGTTTGTGTTGCATGAAGCCCAGCCCCAGTCCGGCCCAGCAGTGCAGTGCAAAGGGGCTTCCTGGCATATCACGGCTCTGAGACTTTCTGGCAGTAGGCCAAATAGCGTTAGGATATATTGGTGGGGCATGTTTTTATAGTTGATTACAACCATGGTTTTTCAGGCTGCAGGACTTGAGGAATCTAGTAAAAACTATGTTTATTATAGATTATATGTTTTTTATAGTATCTATGGTTGTTGGAGCAGTGGGATTAGGTACTACTCCAGTTTCTTATTATGGGGTTATTGCTTTGATAGGACTTGTATTTTTTTGTTGCATTTTTATAGGTCACACATTTGTTACCTTGGTAACGTATATTGTGTATTTGTAGTCCCAGAACCACCATGCTCCAAGAAGCCCTTTGTGCCACACTGCTGGGCCAGGCTGGGGCTGGGCTTTGCCCAGCATAAAGGGGCTCCCTGGTACGCTGCAGCTCTGAGGCTTTTTGCTTTTTGCAGTCCCAGAGTTGCAGCGTGCCAGGAAGCTTCTTTGCACTGCGTGAAGCCCATCCCAAGCACAGTGCAAAGCCGCCACACCCTGGGAAGCCCCAGCCCAGTCCCAGCCACAGTTGCCCTCGCCACCCTGCACTCCAAGCCCCTGCTACCCTGCACTCCGCTGCCCCAGCTGACTTTCACTGTCGTCTTGCTCCCACTGCTGACAAGGCATGCCTGGCCTGTCCCTTCACAAGGCAGCTGCTGGCCATGTGAGGCTATCTTCCCCAGGTCTTGCAAGGAAACCGCCGTGGGAAGAAAGCCTCGTGTGGCTAGCAGCTGCCTCGCAAAGGGCCAGGCTAAACAAGAAGACGGCAAAGTTCAGCTAGGGCAGCAGGGGTTGCAGAGTGCAGGGGGCCAAAAGTGCATAGATGGGAGATGGGGGAGTTGAAGCGCCCCTGCGGTTGTAAGTGCAGACGGGCTACCAAGCGCCCAAATTTTGATCACATGACCGCAGAGGTGCTGCAACAGCTGTAACTTTGGGGACTAGTCATAAGTCCCTTCGTTCAGGACCATCATAACTTTGAATGGTTGCGGAACAAATGGTCATAAGTCAAGGACTTCCCTTAGCAAATTTCAAAAAATATTTCCTTTTATCTATCCTGATTCTTCCAGGATTCAATTTCATTGGGTGATTTCTGGTTCTAGTATTTTGGGGAAGGGAAAATAACTTCTCTTTGTCTTCTTTTATCTACACTTTGCATAATTTTGTACACCTCAATCATGTCCTCTCTCGTTTACCTCCTTTTGATTTAAAATTCCCTTCCTCATAAGGAAGCTGCTCCAACCCCTTGATCATCTTAGTTGCCCACCTCTACCAGATCCTTTTTGCGGTGCAGTGACCAGGACTGCACACAGTATTCCAGATGTGATGATATCATTGATTTAGGGCATAAGGGCATCATGATTATTTATTAAACTTGTATGTTGCCCAACTCTCAGTGACTATTTTCTTATTATCCTTGCTGTTGGCCTTTTTTACAGTGGATGCGCACTGTGTCGACAACTTCATTGACCTGTTTACCATTACTCCAAGCTCTCTTTCCACATCAGTCACTGCTAGCTCTGATCCCATTAGTTTGTATGTGTAGTTAGGATTTTTGGCACCAATGTCCATCACTTAACGCTTGTTCACGTTGAATGACATGTCATTTGACGCTCACTTTCTGCCCATTTTGAGGCAGAAAGGATCACAACTGGCAGATAAAGCTGACTAAAATGTGAATTATTACTGATATCCTATAGGACTGTGTTTTTCTGCAAATGAACATGAACAATAAAAAGAGTGATACACAAATGTGTATATCCCAGATTAAGTTTATGTAATCATAATCATAATTATGTAATGTAATCATGAAAAAAATTGGCGCAACCTTTTTGAAGAGTGTACTTTTCTCTCATTCCAGATTACAGAGGAAAAGGGATACAAAATTAAAATTAAATATATATATATTGAATAAAATACTGCCACCAAGCTGCTTTCTATGTGTATTATCTTTTGCTTGTTTAATATAGAAGTATTTTGTTTAATTAGTTTAGAACATTGATCTCCCAGTTATAGTCTGAACATAGTCTATAGTTCTACCATATCAACACTTGCCACATCATTCTCTTATTCTGTTATACTGTAAGTAGGTCTTAGCCTTTTCTCCTAGCTTATTATGGTACGGATTGATGCTTTGCTTAACACTTTAGTTCTCTCTTTTGATATTTCTCTGCTTTAGAACTGTAATGTTTAGCCTTGAGAAGAGAAGACTGAGGGAGGTATGAAATCACTCATCAGTATTTGAAAGGATGTTACACAGAAAAAGGTCAAAACCTGTTTTCCATCGTCCCAGCATGTAGGATGTGGAATAATGAATTTGAATTACGGGAAGGAAGATTCTAACTGAATATTAGTAAAATATTTTTTAAAAATCCCAAGAGCAGTACAATGTGTTCCTGTCATTGGATATATTCATTGGAGCCTGGACAGCCATCTGCTTTTAAATGCTTTAATTTCAGTAATTCCTGCACTGAGTAAGTTGGACTTAATGATCTATAGGGCTTTTTCCAACTGTATGGTTCTATGAAAGTGACAAGGAAGTTACTGTTTTTCTCCCAGCAAATTTTGCTTTAAGCATTAGCTAGTCACACTAATATGTATAGATGAATGAATGAATATTTTTTCTTCCCTTTTCTTATTTCTTATATACAGATCTCCGACCTTTGCCTGATGTAGCCATGACAGGGACCTGTACTCGAGAATGCACAGAATTTGGTCACTCTGATACCTGCTGGATGCCAGGTCAGTCCTCTCCAAACCGGCGGCCCAAGAATGCCCTCAAACTCTCCACATTTGTGCCTTATCAAGACAGAGGGAGTCAAGAACAAGTTGGGAATGGAAGCCCCAGACTCTCAGAAGAGCGCAACACCAAAATGGCTAACCTCCGCCTGCTCCCCACGTACAGTGCCTTCTCCAACAGTAGCCATGAGCCCTGCAAGGATTCCCCCATGGAGGAAATCCCTCTCACCCAGACCTCAGACTTCCAGACAGCTACTACACCATCATCCCAAACTGCCAAACGAGAGATCTACCTGTGAGAGTGAGGAGGCCACATAAAGTATCTGAAAACAGTGCTGAGACCAGTGTTTAGTCCTCCAGCATGAAGTGACTTTTCAAACTGTGATTCTTTATCACTCAGATTGGCAGTTCTGTGCCTGCCAGATGAGACTGCCTTGCCCAGTCATTGGGCATGGGAACATTTCATTAACTGATTCCTCACTGGGCAAGGGAACTGACACCAACCAGAATGGCCAAGCTCTCAACAGAGCAGTCCATGGATATCTGGAAAGAGGGAGAAAGGAATGCAGTGAAGAGAGCTTGGCTTCATGGTTTCAGGGCTGGGGTGGGGGGAAAGGGCTTAGTTACCAAAGGTCCACGCAGACTTGGTGGAGTCCATTGGGCACAGGGCTGAGAGCACTTGGCACAGGTACAGGGGAAAAGCTGCCTTTCTTGTTACTATAGACTCCTGTAAATATGAATTTTAGGAATGACATTTATGTCCTGCCTGATCAAGTTTTATTGTCCTTGAAACAAAAAGACATTGAAACAAACAACACCACAGGGAGAAATTTTCAGCTTGAATTTTTCACCACACAGAAGAGCACATTGGGGCAAGCACTTCCAACCAGCCCACCCTTTACTTTCACAGTGTAAATAAGGATGGAGCATTCAGTTGGGAGGGGGGCATTCTGGTTGGTCAGCAGGACTGAGAAGGAAGGGCATGACAGAGTTTTTAAATCTTAATCTCTTTTCAGACTTCAGAAACTCTTCTCATCAGGTATGGAGGAGCCCTAGAGCTAGTAGTCATGGCTTTTAGCTGTCCTCCTTTGCCCGTGCCCCATAGATAATGAGCTGCAGCAGTAAGAAAAGTGGAAGAGCCTTCAGTTTTTCAGGTGGTACAATACCTAACTCCCCAAAATTACTCCACTGCCTCACCTGAGGCAGAGAATTTCCATGGGGTCATTAGGCCCCAGTGCCATGATTCTGGCCTTTGATTTGTCTGCCTGTAAGCCACCATTGCCTTTGCGAAATGGAGCTTGGACTCAGGGTCACACTGGGGCCCATGGGCCTCTGTATGCTGGAGTCATATACCCCCTCCCTACGCCTTTAGACAGCCTCAAGGGCTCCAGTATTCTCTTCCAGTGCCACATGTTTATCCACATAGTATCAGACTGCAGGAGCCTATCATAGTTTCAGTAGGAGCCCATAAAAAACAGTGCAACTATTCATGGGCATTATTATCCCCAACCATTGACACCATCATTTGGGATCACTCAAAAGACCTAAATTTATAAGAGAGCACTCTTCCTCCAGCAAGCAGTGGGCTGCTTTGGTGACTAAGTTCTTAAATCCTTAAGTATTCTTGACTTAGCTAGGTCTGATTCCATATAGTATAGTATTAATGGCAATCACTTGCCAGCCAGTATTTGTGGGACTTTTTCCAGTACGTATGGTAATGGAAAGATTCATTGAAACAGTCTCCAGAGTGGGGCCCTATCCACCAGACTAGCTAACACTTGTTGGACCCATCTTGTTTCTCTTGGCTTAATTATTCTGGTTCCAGCAGGCCCAACTATCTTCCTACACTTTGCCATGTGTTTTTCTAAGATGAATTGCAGAAGGTGGGCTGGATGTTGCCCTTTGCTGACTCTCTATTCAACTTTCTCAACTGCATGTATCTAGGAAGGAAAGAGACATGACTGATGCTTTGTGAAACTATTGTTTGTGTGGGTGTATGGGTATGTGTTTGACAGGACACATGGAGACAGGTTGGTTATCGAACTAGTAAGCTGGTGGGATGGACATAAAGCAATTTTCATGTTTCTCTACCAGAGTTAGATGATTTCTAGGGTCATGTGAAATTTTATTGTCCCCTTGTATTCTCTGTCCTCTAGTGAGCAGATTGCTCTGATCACTTTCTGATCATCAGTAGTGGTAGTGTGAAGCATAGCAGAGAGTAGACTAGTGATTCTACTCATACAGTAAGCTGCCACGTGCCATGGACCATTAGGTGTCTGAATTCTAGAGTCCCAGGTTTGAGATCACTGGTAACTTCCAGTGTATAACCAAGGACTTTTTCTCTTCTACCCCTATACTTTCTAAGGCTCAGGGCTATTTCAGCAGCAATCCATAGGATGGAGGGCAGGAATATAGCACTTCCTATCCACTCTTGTATCAAGAGCCTAAGGTTAGGGTGATCATCTGTAATCAGGAAAAAGTTCTGAACTAGTTTGTTCATTTTTGACTTAATATGATGCGTGAACCCACATAGTATGGCTTAGCAAACCAGGCCACTTTGGCTTGTGCCTCAATTCTTGGTTAAAAATCTGTCTGAGCTATACGTGTAAATATAGTTACTGAGGTAAGTATATAGAAGTGTAAATGAACTCTGTCCAAGGATTGCTTCAGCCATCCACCATACCCAGATTCTTTCAAGTGCAACTGTATGGTGTGGAAAGGATAGGACCTTCTCCTCAATCTCTCCCCTCCCCT